AGATTAGTGCTCTACAGGCAGTTGGCAGAGGATTCTTTAAGTTCATTTTCTATAGATGAAGAAGTAGGCTCATTAAATTTTACGGGTGATGAGTCGGGAAGGGTTGCCGATAGTTCAGTTGTCAGCAATAATCAGTCAATTCCTCCAAGCAGTTGTTGCTGGGTAGACACTGGTAGCATGCTCTTGTTTAATGTCTCTCAACTTCTCTCTTGGCTTGATACTTCATTTAAACAGTAAGTTTAACTCATGTATGCTACATAAGTGGTTTATCTTGTTTCGTTATACTTTGAGTTTATACCGAGTCTTGCACAGACCTCTTGGTGCCTCCGAGAATCCCGAACTTTTTGAATTTGATCACATTTATGATGGTTTGAGTATCGCTGGTCCAATTGCTATCTTTTATGGAGCCTTAGGAACTGAATGCTTCAATGAGTTTCATGTCGCCCTGGTAGATGCATCGAAAAAGGTACAAATGCTTTACATTAATGACTGCATTTGCTGTTCATGAATAGTTTAGTTTGATTTGTTAGATTTTGTCAATTTTCAAGTCACACGTTTCTTATGTGGTTTATTCCTGTATGTTATTTATGATTAGACATGGCGTCCCATGAGATTTGGCCACTTTGTATGGTAACACTTCATAAAAGGAGTTATTTTAACTTATATTTAGCTTATTGATTTGAGATACTTTAAATATATCCAACACCCTAATTGTTTTCATTTCCTTGTTAGTGATGGGCTAAGCTTCTGTTAATTGTTAACATTAACCTTAAATATAAAACTAATTGAATCTTGTTGTGTTAATAATTAGTGCAAATTAATGGATAGAATTCATAATGGTGCTTACCGATTTCTTCATCTTTTTTGCCATGTCCGTGTTCCCCTCCAAGCTACTAATACTCGCTCTAGTCAATTCCATACAAGCATCCAATTTTCTTTATTTCTATAGCATCTACCTTTTTCAGTTCTAGAATCATAATAGAGAACCCAAAACTCTCATCTTTCATTTTATTTTCCTTCTAATTTTCCCATTTTTACCATAATCGTACGTCCATAACCACAATATCAACCCCTAAGTTTTTTCAAATCCGTAAATCATGTCGTTATGAGAACTTAGGCATTTGAATCTTTGATGGTGGTTGATCAGGAGGAAGAAAATTGTTTGAGGGTTAACAAATGGTTGAGGGAGTGTTTGGAATGTTGGAAGTCCAAAAAACTAGGACTTGGAAAAAACCCTAGACAAGCACCCAACACTTATTTCATAATAATAGGTAGAATGTTGACCAAGTATGAAACAACACGCCGGCTGTGAAGTGCAGGTAAAAAAAATGTATCCACAATAAGTGAAAGGTAGTATCAGTTGAGGATTAGTCTGGGAAGAATTATGTAAGATGTTTGGAAATGGACAACCGGACAAATGTATCCTCTAGTTACATAAGCCATAAGATTAATACAAGATCAAGGATTGGAATGTAAAAGACATGGATCGAGGTAGTGAAAACGGGTATTGTAGCTGTTATTCAATAGAGGCGGTCACTCATAATCGAGTTGAAAAAAGATAAAGATTTTGTATAGCCAAACCTGAAATTTTGGATAAAATAGAAGCTTATAGTCTTATACAATTCATAAATATGAGATGGATTCTTGGAATAGTATATGGATGCTTCCTACCCTCTCTGTCTTGTATTAGGGTGCATGATATCCTTTAAAAATTGAAATTTAAAATAGAAAAATTAGGAAAATATTACAAACGTCTTCCGTCCGGTATCTATCTCACAAACCAAAATGTGTAAAGCTAAATCATATCAAACTTTTAGTAGTTCATGTCATGATATTATCAAGGTTTTAAATATCGGTAATCTAAAATATATCAGATGACCAAAATTCATATTAGATCTTGGTTGTCGATCATATATCGGGGATAAGTAGTAAAAATCAGAGTGACATGTCGAATGGTGAGCATATAATGTCCTCAGATGTAGTCTAAGCACATTTAATGAAATGTTGAGAGAGTATCATCGAGAGAGGCCGTCGTTAGAGGTCTTCGAGTGAGAAATTTACAAGCGATTTGGGGGAGAGAACAATGGAGGTAGAGAGAATTAAGGTTAGGTGATGAACATACGTGAAATAAAATAGAATAGCATGGTTTTTGTGTAGTGGATGCAGATCGAGTATGGAAAAAAGAGGTTGTTGCCTCCAAATCCAAACCAATTCACTTAAAATGTAAATTGTAGAAAATCAGGTGATTTTTAACCCAGGTGAAATTGGCCACTTACCGGATATACACTGATATATCGGGACAAACCGGCCAAAAACGATATGTGATAATTTTTGCAAAAAACGTACCGGCCATGGCCTAAACCCTATATATCGGCAATAAATCGATAAAATCGGCCTATTTTAAAACATTGGATATTATTGAAACTGAATGATTACCTATTAGTTCCGAATAATATTCACGTATTTCTGTTTCCCCATCATTTTCTTTCTGTTAACATCCCTGCTGTTGTCTTTTATGATGATTCTTATATTTGCTATTTTTTTCTTTGTGTTCATTCCTTGTTAGATAAATTTTATTGCTTTACCTATTGATTTATTTCGGTTTATTTTTCTTCAATAGTATGCTTTCTTTTTATTTGATTCTTAAGTGTTATACTGTGGTACATCTTCCATAGAAACGTCAGTACTGAGACAAAGTTCTTAATTCTGACAGGGAAAAGTTAGGTATGTTGTTAGACCTGTCCTTCCTATTGGGTGTCCAGTCGCAGCCAGCTCTTGCAGTGTTGTTGGTACTTCAGGAGCAGTGAACTTGGGTGGTTATGGAGTTGAACTTGCTTTGAAGAATATGGAATACAAAGCCATGGATGACAGTGCAATAAAGAAAGGTTAGATATGTGAGCTTAAGGAAAAATGTTTAGCTACCTTTCATTTTGCTATTTCCATCTGATATATATTTGCAGCAGGTGCTTTGCATGTTATGCTTTCTTGACATTTACTTGAAAACTATGCACGTATATCCTATTTGTGGTATGTAATTTAATAAGTTATGGAGTTGTCACCTGCACATCTATATATTCAAATACACATTCCATCCATAGTCTTAGTTTCCAGTCATAATTTAATCTCCATGAGACATCTTTGAGGCTGTTTTTTAGGCAATATTTGTCTATAACATTTACTTGGTTATTTAAGTTGTCTAGGCATGGTTAATGCAGTGGATTTTCAGTTCCAGTTTTGCCCTGCATTTTGTTCCTCTATGATTGTGGAACAAGTTTAATTTCTTCCTGCATTTATTTTCCTGTATGATTTTGAACTTTCAGTTAGGTTCTTATTTAAATGTTTAGTTTCTGTGGCTAGAGATGACACAAATTTTCCGGGGACTTTGCTGATGAACTTCCTCTGTTTATCTTTTCCTGCCTTCCTACCATGTTTGCCACTTTCTCGAGAAGTTGCTATTAGGGAATTCTTCGCAAAAAATTGATTAAGTTCCTGCTATATTTGTATGCATGTGTTTGCTTTCTTTTTTATTTTTAATTTTTTTTTGTGTGTTTTCAAGTTTTATTCAACGTAGTATTTACTTATGGTCCTGCAAAAGGATCCAATTTCAACTAGTGCAACCAGAAAACTCATGGTACTCCATGTAGTTAGCAACTGACTTTTCAACTTTGACATGTAACATTCACCTGGCCCTAGACACCATTTTTCTGTTTTTTTTTATTTCAGGTTCGTTTTGCTTGTATACTGTCAAACCTTTCATTTTTTAAATCCCCCAACCTCTGCATATTACAAGTTTGCCCCTCAAATATGTTTAAATCCCAACTGTTGCTCTCAATCTTTTCTGTATAAAAGTCGGCTTTCCTTTTTTTATTCAATTGATGACGATCTAAAGGTGTAAGCTAAACCCTAGTTAGTTAGTTATAGCTACATTTGAGTCCTTCCTCATTCCTATACCTCTCCTCCCATCCTCACCTTCCCTCCCTCCTCCCTTGTAACATTCTTTTCTTTCCCCCTCTCTTCTGGGACATGTTTGAGCATAATGATGATGAGCTAAATCAATTTAAGTTATTGGGGTTTGTCAATATCGAGCTATATCTGTGTGTATATACTCTATATTCGTTTAATTGCAGTATGACTCCCCAGACTTGATGTCGCTCTTAATATGTGTTTTCTTTACATAGTCATGTTAATTTACATATCTTCCAACATATGCACATGGTCAACTTTCATTAGAATCTGTAAAGTGCTGACCCCATGTCTATTTTCTATAGCTGGGTGTAAAATTTTTATTAATCTTGCAGTGACATGTCCTAGGATAGGTATAGATTTGCCAGACAGGTGTATTACAACTATGAAGTATCATAGGATAAACTATAATTACGACTATGAGTATGAAGTATCATAGAATAAACTATAACATAGTGATGGATTCCTTTGGATTTCATTTGTATGTTCGAGATCCTTTCCAACTACTTATCGTACTTTATCTGAATGGCCACAGCTTAATGCATGTCGAAAGTCTATTTTTGTAAACCAGTTTAAAGCATCAAGTGCTTACATTGTTATGGTTAGAAGGGATTTCATTGGTTGATATTCATCATGCTTTGTTTTTTTGTTGCAATCTGAACAGAATGATTTAAGTGGTGTTATTGGTGGTAGGAAAGAGGCATCTATAGCTATAGTACTTGTTAACCTATAGCCTGAAACAGACTGTCAAATTCCTTTTCTACCATCAGGACTTCTAGAAGAACATTTTGCATCTGTAAACACAATCTTTTTATGATCTTTTCTCCAGTCTTTTTTGTTAAACACTTAACAAAGTATATTGTTTGTAACCTTTTCTCTATTTTTCAGGAGTTACTCTTGAAGATCCAAGAACTGACGACCTCACTCAAGAAGTTAGAGGATTTATATTCTCCAAAATCATGGTTTGGTCAACGAACACTCATGAAGTTGCATTCATTTGAACAAGCAAGGGTACCCCTATTCAATTAATTGATGTAGATAAGTTATGTTCTTTTCATATGTGAATTTGCAGGAACGCAAACCAGAGCTAACTGCTGAGGTTATGGCCTTCAGGGACTATCTATTATCATCAACAATATCAGACACTTTGGAAGTTTGGGAACTGAAAGGTATGTGTCATGTTTGCCAAGTACAGGACAATTCTAGTGCAATTTTTACTTGTGTGCTTCTAACTAATTGGAATGAGTTTGCTTGCTAGATTTGGGTCATCAGACAGCCCAGAGGATTGTCCAAGCTTCGGACCCCTTACAGTCCATGCAAGAAATCAACCAAAATTTCCCCAGCATTGTTTCATCATTGTCTCGCATGAAGGTGGATTCATTTGCATGATAGTTCTTTCCCCCCTTCAAATGACTGTAGAAGATAATGCACCTGAAGTATCTCAACTATAAAACTGCCATCTGTTTGCAGCTCAACGAGTCTGTCAAGGATGAAATAATTGCAAACCAGCGAATGGTTCCTCCTGGGAAGTCCTTAATGGCGCTAAATGGCGCTTTAATCAACATTGAAGATATTGATCTTTACATGTAATATTTTCCTCCACTTATTATTCTTAATAATGCTTGGATCCTGTGGTTGCTGTTGCCTTTTAGAATTTAATGTGTATTTTCATTACTGGATGCATGCATATAATAGCTGTTGACCTGGGCTAAGTCAGCTGAAGAAAATTTGTTCTTAATTACTTGTTGGTAGCAGATGCTCTTTCTCCCTCTTGATAGACTGAGTCTGTGAGATTCTAGTCCAATCAAGAGGTCCATGTAACTGCTTGAGCACAGTAATGCACTTATTTACTTGCGTTGAGGTTGCGTAAAATTTTGAACTTTAATGAGGCAGATAACCTTGATGTACTCTACTAGTCTGCATGAAATTGGATCCCTACGTCAGTTGTCATAGATATATTTCACATCTTCTATATCTGTTATTTTGAAAGATATGATAGTAACTATCATCTGTGATCTATTACTATTTTCTCGTGATATTTTGTTTATTACAGTCTACCTACTATTTAGGTGAGAGTTGTAAACATGCAGTTACACTGTTCGTAAAGTAATAAGACACCTATCGTGGATCTTGTAGGTTAATGGATCTTGTTCATGAAGAGCTATTGTTGGCTGACCAGCTGTCAAGGATAAAGGTAATATCTGTTTTATCAGTTTGTAAAATTTCAGAACTTTAGACTATTTTTTGTTAAAATTATTCTGTAGTCAAAATGGTAAGCATACAACTACAGGTTATGTCTTCAAGCTTTGCTTTTAGATTTAGATTTTCTTTCAGAATCAAGATACTTCAACATTATCAATTTATATTTTCATTTGTTAAGTAAAATAAAGGGTTGTTATATGAACAAGGATTAAACCTTAGTCATGGCAGTAAAGCATTGCCAAGATTCATGTCACTTATGGTAGGCCTGTATGAGCACGGTATCGTGTTACATCTAACATTCTTATAAGCTTGCATAGGATTGTAACACCACATTACTCTCCCAATAACGCTCTTAGCGTAAAGATGGAAATAAAATGTGTTTAATGTTTCTGCACTATTTCTACTTTGTTTCTTCTCTTGACGTACCTTGCCATGGATTAAGTTGTAATATTTTCAGTGAGAGTTACCTCTCATGTTGGGAATGACAATGATTTCCTAAGATATGGTTCCAGTATTGGGAAGAGTTTGAATCAATCCTCACCATTTTTTAGTGTTGAAAATCTGAAAATATCATCCCCCCCCCCAAAAAAAAAAAAAAAAAAAAAAAAAAAAAAACCACCCCCCCCCCCAAAAAAAAAAAAAAAAAAAAAAACAAGTAGTGCATGACTTATATGTCCCGAAGAGCATGCATTTTACCGTTTTTTAATTAAACATGTTCTGGAGCTGCGTTTTCTGCATTTTGACTAAAGATGAAAATTTCCAGCTTCCTCAAAGTGCCATTCGGAAGATTTTGTCAGCAGCTCCTCCATCCGAGTCTAATTCATTTCGTGTTGACTTTCGATCTAGTCATGTTCATTATCTTAATAATTTGGAGGAAGATGCCATGTACAGACGATGGCGAAATAATATCAATGAGGTTTGCTTCTTTCTTTCTTTTTCTTTTGTTCAATTGGTGAAGTCAATTGTAGTTAGCGAAGTTGTTTTCGTTTTGGTATTTTTGACTGCTTTACAGCTGACATGTTTATTTCTCCCATTCTAGATATTGATGCCCGTCTTCCCTGGTCAGCTTCGGTACATCCGTAAAAATTTATTCCATGCTGTTTATGTGCTGGATCCTGCAACATCTTGTGGAGCTGAGGCATGCTAATCTGCTTAGTTACTGATTATTCTTTGACATCAATTAGTCCTAAAGTTGTTTGGAATCACAAAGAGGGTAGATGTTCTGCTGTGCTGAATATCAACTCTCTTTTGGGTGTAAGGCCTGCCTTTCACCACCCTGATTTAACCAATGTGCCTCATTTGTGTACCCAAAAAGAACTCCATTTGATCAACTGTAAAGTAAATTGTTGCTTACTTGCACTTACTAACAAAGATATTTCTTTGTTGATCTTTTCAGTCTATTGATATGATTCTATCCATGTATCAAAGTAATGTTCCAATGAGATTTGGGGTGATACTATACTCTTCAAAACTGATCAAGACAATTGAAGAAAAGGGTCACAATTATGCAGTAAATAATGAGGCAAAAAATGGGGAGGATATTTCCAGCTTGGTGAGTTCCTACACAAATATATATATTGCATCCTCATTATTACAAAAATGTGTTGCACTTATATAAGCAAATATAACAGTTCATGGCCATATCTATCTAGTTATCTTTTGCAGTGAAAAATTCTTAGCTTTGCAGGATTTGGCTTAAACTAGATTGTCCATCCAGAACAATCCTTAGCAGAGGATACCAATTAAAGGGTTGATGGTGAAGTTTATCATTACATTTCTTACCTGTGATCTTGATGTCATCATTCAATTTGTAATCTGGTTGTGGACCAAGACAAGTACTGGCAAAGACGCGTGACAGAAAGCCTAAAAGTCAAGAGGGCGGATGCAGTCTTCCTTGTTGGCTATGTTGTTAAGCCCCACTTACCTAGTCTGCAACTGAATTCATATAAGCTGAATGGGCTTCTATCCTTCTGAACCTGATGTGACCCAACCTTTGTTTTGGATTGCATTAACCTCAGCATGTACAAATCCTATTCATATGCTGTATGTACATTCAAGTTTGTTATAGCAGCTTATATCTGGTTAAGCAAACCTCTGTCCAGAGAGGGACATTTATGGTCTCTCCTCTCGTATGGATTTAGGTTAAAAGGCATTCCAGTTGAGGGTGTTGAATAGTGAAAACAGCGGGGATAGCATCCTGGAACTTAATGGGATCTCTCATGGCAGTCGTGAATGCATGACTGGTCACAGGACGATGACAGTGTTACCCTCATTGATGATCAGCGTTGACATCAATATAAGGAAATTGCCTTCTGCTGTAATATGAAAATTATGTTGACAGAATGGCTGGAGAGAGAAGGATGAGACTGATATCGGAGCAAAAACATAGAGAATTAGGCAGCAAAAACGAAGATGAATTCCTAGTCTACAGTCTTATATGTCATTTCCCAATTATGATGTATGGGGTGTGAGGTCCAGATTTACACCAGGGATCCTGTATCAGTAGGTATACTAAACAGAAGTTCTATATCCAATTAGCTCATGGGTTAGGCCAGTTTGGGCGGGGCTGGTGTCTGGTTGAGCTGCACCCGTCAATCTGAACTTAGATTGAAACCAAAATTAGGTTATATTTTTCCACTCAAGGGTCACCTGTGAAAATAATCAACCAACTACACCCACTGTCAGTTGTCTCCCCGATGGTCACATGAGAATGAACCTATCTTGTGGCTCTGGGGCAACCAAGTAGAGAGATTTGGGAGTTTTATTTGACTTTGAAAGAATTATCAGGCCAATGTTTGCTAAGGAATCACAGCCCCTTAAATTAGAAAGTTAACTTTTCCAGGTTACCTCTGATGTATTCCATATATCATTGTACTAGTTTAGTTTTCTCACCGACGCGAATAACAACCCAGTACACATATATTTACATGAGTTAGTATTCATAGATTTTAAAAGTTGCGCACGCATATCAGTTATGTTGTAAATCACTCGTCTAACCGTTTGATTTTTTGGTTTACAATTGTTATACATGTTCTTTTTCACCCTATATGTGTAGGTTGTTCATCTATGCTTCCTTTTAGGGATGCTGGCACTGTTTGGAGGATGTTTACTCTTTTATCGCTATCCTGATTATTTTCTCTTATTATGCAGATTATACGACTTTTCATATACATCAAGGAGAACTACACCACACAGTTGGCTTTCCAGTTTCTAAGCAATGTATGTTGGTAATTCTGTTTTAGACAATTACCCCGATTATAATCATATGAAGGGAGTGTTGTTACAATTTTTTGTTGAGAAATAATTCAAACTAAACATGCTTTTCAATTCTTCTTGAGTTAGAGTTTGATATCAATATTAATAATATCGTTATATGTTGTTTGTTTAATCCCCCACCATCTCAACCCTCTCAATATAACCCCTCCCTGTCCCAACACACTCAAACACAAATGCAATTGTCCAGGAGTGCATTATTGTATACATATGAAAGTCAATGGAAATTCCCGCTGATATCATTCTAAGCTGCTTTATTTTATGAATACCTATCAATTTGTAGCACATGCTACTGGACGATACTGTAAAGATATCTTTAGGACTACATATTGGAAACAATCATGCTTTCTGAATTGCCTTCCTCGAGGCATAATGCTTAGAACTCAGAACATAAATGTCATAGAGAAGTATTCTGCAGTTTCTTACATGTCTACACCCATAACTTTAGTCTTTTGAATATTACCATCCAAATCTTGTTTAGTTTCTAATTTACCTCAATCATATGTGTACATTGCTCTATCCCTTTACTTAATTGCTATTAGATTTCTAACAGAAAGTGGGTAACATGCCCCTAAACACTATAAAGATGATTAGCTTTATCATGGAAAAGTAGAGAACTTCCCCTGAAATTTGTCTCCAATTACCTTCAAATCATAAATCATGAAACTCGTTCACTAATGAGTTTCATGATTTAGAGGTAAATTGAGGAATTGCAATATTTTGAAGGTAAATTTCGAACTACTAAAGGTTTGGGGGTATTCATTTAAAATACCCTTCTACATATGTGAAGGAAAATCTTTTAATTTCTTGCAACAGTGAAGCCCCCTAAATATACGTGTTGATTATCATTTATATACATGGAGAGAGCACACGTTTAAAATTTGAGACTAGCTGCAGAGCTAGGATTTTCCGACCTGTACATTAGTATCATGAATATAATGTCCAACAAACTAGATTTTACATGCAGTACACCATGGGACTCAATGTCATGATTTCTTAAAGAGAGTTTCTATGTGCTCGGTCTTATTTTCATCTTCGCACAGGCATCCATGCAATAATAATTCTGCGCTCCTATATCTATTTGTTCGTAAGGGGAGATGGTTTTGGTGCATGATTTAGTACACATGATGGTGAAAAAAAATTTAATTTTGTTGGTGTTCACTGTTTCTGCTAGATTATGGAATAAATCTGAATCTACCTTTTTCCATTAACAAAAATGATCTGAGACCTATCCTTTCATGTCATATACCTGTTTATACATTCTTTGCATGGGATCTGTATGTCTTATGCCCATTGTTTTGACTCCCAATTTATCTTTTGGAGCTACTTTTCATACATGAAGATAAACAGCAGCTTAATGATAGTTTCACTTTTCTCAGTTTATGTAAATGTCTTCATCACTTTCTGCGCTATTATTTCCTCTCACTTTCTGCACTATTATTTCTTCACCTCAATCGGTGACAGGTGAACAAGATATGGAGTGTTGCAGATGATCTTCATGAAGAGGCCCCTGAGGCACATCATGTTGAAGCAGCTTTCGTTGAAACTGTACTGTATGTGGCACGCTTTTTTCCCCATTGTAGACATCAATTATTTCTTGGAAGGAACTTAGCATGTCCTTGGATTTATTGACATGTTGCAGGCCTAAAGCTGATTCACCTCCTCAAGATACACTTCTAAAACTTCAAAGAGAAGGCAAGTATGTGGAGGAAGCTAAAGGAAGCTCACTTTTTGTGTTCAAGCTAGGGTTGTCCAAACGTCATTGCTGCCTCTTGATGAATGGACTCGTACAGGAGTCAAGTGAGGTAAGCAGCTGATTTTGCTTATGTCTTATTTTCCAAGCTGAGGGTTACAATTTTAAATTCTAGCAAGTACCTACACTAGGCCTAGAGGAACATGAATGGATGAATTGAAAGGGGATATACAATTAACTAACATGATGACTGTTACCTAGAGCTGAGAAATATATTAATAGAACAAACCTAAATTTTCGGTGGCTTCATTAGGTTGATCATTCATTCATTTGTATGTCTGGATTAAAAGATCTTATTGTTTATTTTTCAAAGGAATTACTTCTACTTTACAAATTAAATTTTATTCAGGACGCTGCCATGAACGCTATGAATGAAGAGCTTCCTCGAATTCAAGAACAAGTATACTATGGCTATATCACCTCAAAAACAGATGTATTAGAAAAATTTCTTTCGGAAAGTGGCCACCAACGATATAATCCTCAGGTAAGTTGCCAAAGTACTTTTTTTAGCTTACTGCAGAACCTTTAAGAACTCCGCTTTGTATCATTACGATTTGCAGATACTTGGTGAAGGGAAGGAAAAGAAAAAGTTTATATCACTCTTTACATTATTTTTTGGGGGTGAAACTACACTGCAAGAAGTAAAGTACTTGCATTCCTCTGAAAGTAAGCTTGTTAAGTCCTCGTGCAGCTTCCTTATTGAACTATAAGCTATATGTATTAATTCTGGCGTTAATTCTTTGTCTGATCCATTTTTCAGCTGCTGATGATTTAAAGCCAGTGACACATCTTCTTGCTGTTAATGCTTCTTCAAGAGAAGGGATGAAATTACTGCATGAGGGAATTAATTACTTGGTAATATCAACTCCATGGAAGGATACATTGCAGTTTAATTTGTTATAATAGGACCTCACCTCCCTATGTTGGTGTAGATTGAAGGATCAACAAGAGCTCGTCTTGGTGTACTGTTTTATGGTAATTCTGAGGCCAATTCACCTGCTTTACTTTTAGCAAAGGTTTTTGAAAGAACTGTTTCTTCATTCAGGTTTGTCTTCTCTCCGGAATTATAAATCTGATGATATCTTAAATATTAAAAATCAGGATTTTGTCCTGAATAATTCTCCTGTTGATTATTTATATTTAAATTTTAGTCACAAGGAGAACGTCCTGGAGTTTTTGGATCAGCTATGCACCTTCTATGAAAGTCAGTATATATCAGTGCTATCACTGGCTTCTGACAGCTTGAGCCTTTTTGTTGAAAAGATTTCTGAGCTAGCCGAGATGCACGGCTTGCCTTCTGATGACTATAAATCAATTCTTTCAAGTGTTTCCTCAGATATGATAAAGAAACAAATGGATAAGGTATGTATGTGATTAAACACTGAACTTAACAATGTTGGATGAACCGTAGGCCTATGTTCCTTGAAGACGAATGTTCCTTATCTTTTTCTTCTTCTTCTTGAGCTACTACTTGAATTTGGTACAAAATTCTGTATGTGATGATTTCATATTCTTGCTCTCACACTCTCTAGGTATTGAAGTAGCTACACTCTGGAATTTGTTACAGCCTTAAAACTGTTTAGTTAAAAAAACTGTCCGGTTTATCTTTGCTTTCACGTCCAGAGATTTATTTGTTACGAAATAGATGTATATTATGCTCGTTTTGTTGTGTGAATAAATCCAGCTAATTCCTCCGTATAGGAATATCACTTCCTTCTTCCCCTTGAACTTTATTGAGATGAATACCCATCAATTTTGTTAAAATTGGTTGAAGATTAAGTAATATTGGTGCCAAATTACATAAGCTGAACTGAGCTCGCCGATGCCATAAATTTAGTTTCTGCTGTTGACGTCAGTCAAACATATGCTCAAGCCCACACCACCCACCCACCACCCCCCCCCCCCCCCAAAAAAAAAAAAAAAAAAAAGATGTGCAGACAGTCAAAAATTCTGAAGCTTTTGTAAATATAGAAATCCATGCCTCTTTTAGAAAAAGATAGGCTAGTTCTGCGAGCAACAGTAGAGTCAATAAAGACATGCTCCACCCTACACCCACACACGCATAGGTGCCAGATGTTCAAGAACCAACAAGAAGCTAGAACCTTTCTTGCAATATTTGATGCTAGCGAGAGAAGACATGTTTGATCCATGCAGCTGTCGTAACTGTTCAAATTCCTGCTTGTCTGGGAAGGTCCTGGCACAGTGGTTGTGTCATGTATGAGATAGAAAACCAACTGAAATAATCTCCTCACATCTCTCACCCTTTTGTTGTAGTTGTCAACCTCATATTCTTGAAGGACAGTTCGCTCATACTAGGTAAAGGGCAATAAAAGTTTGCCGTTGCAGGAGAAGGTATTTGGTACTTTAAGCCCTGGAAAATAATATCGAATGTATCATCTGCTCAGATTTACTTATGAAGGTCCCATGTTAGATGTTACGATATAAGTTCATTAGGGAACTATAGCCCTTAACTGGAAAATTCAGTCTAGAAGAACTTTCTTTCTTTTGAGAAGTAATAAAACAAAAAGTCTTATGTGGTCAACAATGAGAACTGTGCAGTTTCTATACACTAGGGGTAAACAAGTGTAACTAGGTTCACGGGCACCAGCTGGGAAGTCACTGTTTTGGATATTATTGATTTTGTGATTTGATATCCCCCTGCAAAAGTACTTTTCATTATTTTCTAGTTCCTTTTCTTTTAAGTCATTGTTTGACACTGAAAGGAATATATCTAAGCTTGTCTAGTTTCTGTCGAAGGAGTAAGGCAGGTATATATTGGAATTATATAAAATGTTCAGGCATGAGGAATATTACAAAACTGTGATTAGCGGAAGATAGTGTGTTTGAGAGTGTTGCATCTGATGGAAATAGTTCCGCAACATGAACATCTGCTCTACTCAGATTTGCTGTACTCAATATCACTTTGTAACTAATTTTTTGTGCTTTCCTTTATATTATTTATAAATAGTTGCTGTGAAATATTATTTTGAAATTAGATGACATATTTATCTTAACAGTTGTGAATTTTATGCAGGTATTCAATCTTTTGTCCAGACAAATTGGACCTGAGTTTGGTAACGCTGCTGTGATCACCAACGGAAAAGTGAGTCCTGTGACATAATTCGGCCCCTCAAACTGCACTGTCATCTTTATCTGTATTGGTGCATGTGCTCAGAGTTTCTTGTAACGTAGAAAAGAAAAAAAGAAAAAGAAAAAAAGAAAAAGAAAAAAAGAAAGATACTAATTTGCTTCTGTTAGCTCTTGTATTGTATCTTTATGTTACAAATGATGAACCTCTAATTTTTACATGTCTCTATTCCTGGACAGGTACTTATTCCTATTGGTGTGACTTCTTTTCTAAGTGATGATTTTAGTCTTCTAGAATCTGTTGAATATGATCAAAGGATAAAGTACATTTCAGAAATTATTGAAGAGGTAGATTGGAAAGACATTGACCCAGATGATCTCACCAGGTATTTATGTTTCTTATGTCCTTGTATACAATTCATTTTGCTCTCTTCAGATTTGACTAAACACTGATATCCGTGTTTTATTTCCATTTAGTCGCCTAGTTGGAAGCTTTTTTTCTGCATTTATTTGTTTCCATATACGAAAGGATACATAAGAGAAGGTGTAGTTACATTGACACTACAGTATTTCTTAAAGAATTTGTTATGATGGTGCTATTAATACTTGAATTAGCCAGTAACTCTACAATAATGAAGAAACTAGTAGTTTCTTAGAGCTAAATATCAGAATTCCCCCTCCCCTAACTTCGGATGATTATCAGATAACCCACCAAAACCATC